GCCCAGTTCAGGGCCTCGGAGCAGGAGCCTGGATTGCCAGACACACATCCCTGAAGGGCCTGGGGTCGGGAACAGCTAGTGCAGAAACTTAGAGGAAACTTCTCTCCATCCTGTGTACAAAGGGAGTTGCCCCAAGGGAGTCTTGTGGTGGGGTGTGGCAAACCGGTGTGCCTGGGAGCTGGCAATGCGTGAGATGAGGCAGGGATACTGTCAAGGGAGCGTGCCCAAGACATCCATGAGCCAGTGGAACCAATGGAGGCTGTGGGGATAGCCTTGCTCTACCCCTTTCTGAGCTGCCTGGTGCTAGATGGGCCCTAGAAGTGTCTACCAGGACTGCAGCTCTGTGCATAGGAGGTGAGCTCTTCTGACCTGGGCTCTGCTCCCTCCCTCCCGGCCTCATTTCAGTCTGGACCTGGCCTGCGGCAATGCTGTTCACATGGACTCACTGTGGTGAGCACAGGGGACTCGACCTCTCCCGGCAGGCGTGCTCCTTGTTCCCAACCCCTGCACGCAGAAATCCTTAGGCCCTGTATTCTCTCCCTCTCATTTCAATCTGCTCCCAAATCTTTCCCTGGACTCCCAGCGGGCTCTGGAGTGCTGCTAGGGGCAGGGAAGGAAAGTTGAGCTAGCGTTTGAGGCACAGGAAGGGCAGTGGGCTGTTCACTGCATCCTTGGGACCAAAAGCTCGTGCTGTGTCTCTGCTCCACAAAGCTCCACCCAGGGCCACGTTTGGGCCTCAGAGGATCAGTTAACCTAGTTAAGCTAGTTAACTTAGAGTTAAAACTAGTTCCAGTTCCTATCCCGGCCCTGCATCCCCCTACCGGGTGCTGTGATTTTACAGCTGGATTTTCCTGTGTTTTCTGGGGTCTTTCAAACAGGGAGAAAAGATCCACCCCAACAGGGAAGGGGGTGGACGTTGCAGAGGGATCTGTGATGCTAACAGCGCACGGTGTCTGCTCTGCCCATGTGATGGCAAACTGAAAAAGGAGCTTAAACTCCCTTCCTCTGATACCCGTCAACAGCTGTGATCGCAGGTGCCACCGAGAGTACCAGCAGGTCCTGCAAAGTGCTGGGTTTTTCTCGTTCCCATTCTGCATGGGACGTTCCTGCTTTCATCCCATTATCCTGTCTGCTCTGGGCCTGGAAGCCAGGATCCAGCTGGACTTTCCAGACCTTGTCTCTGGCAGCAAGTCACATGGCTCCCAATGACTGGGACTTCAGGCTCTTGCAATGGGGTGGCCTATCCACAGGGCCCACTCCTTCATGCCAGGGCCCTGCCTGCCCTGCCAGTGCGTGGGCTGAATGAGAGGCAGGCTTTAATAGCCAAGATCTTACCAGCTGTGGCCCGCCACCTGAGGCTGCCCAAGGTGGTATCCAGGCCTGGCAGTGCGGGGGATGTGTCTCCTGGCACACTGCAATGACTGAACATATAGGTCTCCAATAAGCCATGCACTGAACTTGCCTTTAAATTCCCTGTGCTGCCAGCCTATCAGACTGTAAAGCTGCAATAGGGTAGAAATCCAGAGAGGCACCACTCGCCTTGGCACTGCTGCCAGGCAGGCAGGCACTGCAGTGGGAAAGACTGTCCATCTTCTGCTTGGCTGGGTTTGTGAGCAATTGACTGCAAGCCTTGGCCGGTGCTGCGCGCCTCTGCCTTCAACAGCACTCGGGGCCTCCGCCCTCGCAGAAGGCTTCTCCCACATCCTTGCACAATCCAGTCTCAGGGAAAGCAAGGGGCAGCAGAACTGAATGCAGTGCGGAGGCTTTTCTGAAAGGCCATGCTGCCCACTGCTCGCAGACTGGAACCGCAGTTCGCTAGGTGAGAAGGATCTGCTTCCACAAGAGACTAGGCAAGTATAAATAGGCCCCCTAGTAGCCGCCTGTAGGCTAACGCATGAAATGAAATTCTATACCAGGGGTGGGCAAACATTTTGGCCTGAGGGCCACATAGAATCATAGAATATCAGGGTTGGAAGGGACCTCAGAAGATCATCTAGTCCAACCCCCTGCTCAAAGCAGGACCAATCCCCAATTTTTGCCCCAGATCCCTAAATGGCCCCCTCAAGGATTGAACTCACAAGCCTGGGTTTAGCAAGCCAATGCTCAAACCAAACCCTCCCCCATCTGAGAATAGAAATTGTACAACGGGCCACGAACACTCACAAAATTGGGGTTGGGGGTGTGGGATCTGGGGTGGGGCCAGAAATGAAAAGTTCAGGGTGTGAGTGGGGGATCAGAGCTGGGGCAGGGGGGTGGAGGGGTGAGGTCTCTGGCTGGGGGTGTGGGCTGGGGATGAGAAGTTTGGGCTGTAGGAGGATGCTCAGGGCTGGGTTCAAAGAGTTTGGAGGGCAGGAGGGGGATCAGGGCAGGAGGTTGGGGCACGAGGAGAGGCTCAGGAGGGCAGGCTCCAGGCAGCGCTTACTTCAAGCGACTCCCGCAGCATGTCTCTTCTCCAGCTCCTACGTGGAGGCACAGCCAGGCGGCTCTGCATGCTGCCCCATCTGCAGGCACCGCCCCTGCAGTTCCCATTGGCTGTGGTTCCTGGCCAATGGGAGCTGCAGGGGTGGCACTTGGGGTGGGGACAGCATGCAGAGTGGAGCCCCCTAGCTGCCCCTACACGTGGGAGCCGGAGGAAGGCCATGCTGCTGCTTCCGGGATCCGCATGGAGCGGCCCCCGACCCTGCTCCCTGGCTGGAGCGTGGCAAGCCCCAGACCCCACTCCCCAGCGGGAGCTCAAGGGCCAGATTAAAATGGCTGGAAGGCCAGATCCAGCCTGCAGGTCATAGTTTGCCCATCCCTGTTCTAAACATACCCCTGTGTACATTTTCCTTGTATCAGAAATGCAACCATTTCATATGGACCGTGCTTTGAAAAGCTGGATACACACTGGCTGAGTTCCCCAGGCAGGGGCATCAGACCAGCCCTACAGAGGCTCTGCACTCCTCCAGCACGGTCCATTGGTGAATCTTCTTGGGGGCAAAGGGCATCCTTGTACAGCGCCTGGCACTGCTGCATGCTGGTCCATGACTGGGGCATCTGGGTGCTCTGATAAGACACTAATGAATTGTACCAGTGATTTATTTCACTGATAGAAATTATCTCGCATGTTCCCCTCCCCTGTTTGAGTGGGCGGGAGGGAATTACTCACCCCTAGTGCTTACTTGGGGGCTGGCCTGCACAGGGTGGTGCAGTGAGTCCGCTGGGAATAGAACTTGGGTCTCCTGATGCCCCAACCCCTCGCACACACCTATACCTTCACCAGTTGCCCAGCCTTCCTCTGCCTCTGGTACCTACCTGTCACCATGGTGTCTGAGCATCACCTGTGGTTGATGTGTCTATCTTCACATGGCTCCCCCCTGTGGAGGGCAGGCCTGCTGTACCCATTGGACAGATGGGAACTGAGGAATAGACCAAGCCACTTGCCCACAGGAAGCTGGTGGTGGTGGAGACCGAGGGTCAATTCTGTAGAGTCCCAGATTGGCACCTGACCCCCTTCTCTTCTCATTGCTGCATGTGGCCTCCTGCATCTCTGAGGAGCGTGCTCTCTTCTCAAATGCAGGAGGAACTGGACTAAGATCACCCAAAAGGCTCTGAGGTGGGGCGGCCACTGATGTGAGCCAGGTTTGAACTGGCCACCTAGGAGTGAAAGGTCCTAGACACCATTGCCAATCCTGAGCCACGTGGCCACCATAACTCTTGCTCATCCCTCCATTAGCCAGTCCTGATCCGCTCCATGCATAGGCAGCGCCTTCCCTGGAATGATCTGTAGCCAGAGCCCTTTGCCTGCTGGTGGCATTGGTTGCTCTGGTTTGGCCTAGGGCAGAGGCAGGGATATTCCTCCTGGCAGGGGTAGGTCCACCGGAAACGCTGGTCACGTCTTGGAGGTTGCTGTGGGGGGAGGGGGTTGAGTCCCATGGGCTCTGTGGGTCTGGGTCAGGCCCTGCTTCTGAGTGTGTCTAGTGCCTCGGGTGTTGCAGTGGGGGGCTGACGAGCAGCCTCCAGGTGGAGCAGGGAGAGGAGTGTGAGGAGCGGGTTCACGTTGTGTCCCAGCAAACCCGGGGAGGGTAGGCATCAAAGAGCCTCCAAAGAAGCATGGTCTTATTGTGACAGACTGCCGGTCTGGGGGCTGCCCTTTCCATCCTGACAGCTGGGCCCGAGCAGCGTCTCCCAGGAGCTGCAGTGACTCCGCTGACCCTCTGGAGGTGGTCACGGGCTAGCCCAGAGAAGCAGTGTGTTACCTGTGCAGGCGGACGGCACGTCGCTAACCTGAACTCTGGTGGCAGTCGCACCTGCTGGCTCCAACGGGACCTATGCGGTCGGGGCATGGGGCAGGGTCTCCAGGCAGTGAGGGGCTCCCTATACAGTGCACCTACCTACACAGAGGAGGTGATCTGCTTAGCACCAGCTCCTCCCCCAGACAGCTGTCGGGAGGCCTCTGACCTGACCTTACAGCGCCCCCTTCTGGTTTAGGGCTGAGCTCCCCACGCAGCTCAGTCTTGGCTTGCAGTACCCCTGCTGTGAAAGCCCTGAGCCTCTCCAAACAACCGCTCCTAACCGTGCTATGTCTCTTGTGATGGGAGGGCAGAGGGGGATTTCCCGGGATTGACTCACGCAGGGACCTCCAGCCTCCCTGCGCTTGTGACCGGTGCCAAACTGAACAAGAGACCCATGCAAAGTGGTCTCGGAGCGGGGGTGTCCCTTCCTCTTCTCCCACATGGCCTACCATGTACATGGCTGTCTTCCATTCAGGCGGAGCCTGGGGAGGACTGGGAGAAGGGGGCATGTTTCAGGCCCCCCCTGGCCGCTCACCAAGATCTTCATCTAGTTTCTCCTCTGCTCCACCAGTCCCAGGAGGGCTGCCAGGCTCCAGCTGCCCCCTGGTGAGTTAGGCTTGTGGTGGCTCTGTGAGGCTTAGCAGTGGAGCTAGTTTTATTTGCTGTTAATGATTTTTTTTTTTAATCTCTCTTTCCTCCCCCATCCCTGCCCCCTTGCAATTCCAGGGCTTTGTCGCAGCAGCAGCTCCTCCAGCCGAGCAGCAGGGGAAGATTGCCAGGGGATTATTGAAAGGCCTGCACAGCGGAGAAGGCTGGCTTCCGGAGAGCATGAGGGAGGCTGCAGCTGAATGCCAGCTGGGGGTTCCTGAGAGCCTGTGGAAGGGCTGAGCAGGAGCCATCGAGAGACCCCCACCGAGCTGCAGCTGTTCCCGGGCCTGCTACAGATGTGGAGCTCCTCAAGAGCTCAGCTGTCTCCCAGGCAACTAGAGCCGGGGAGGCCCCCTCAGCTGCGAGGAGACACTGATGGAAAGCAGCAGCCAGCCAGGCGCAGGCAAGGCGCAGTGGGAACCTGGCTCTCTAGCCCCTTACACAGAGTTCCCCTGAGATGCATTTTTCTTCCCCCTCCTGGTCAGAGTCTTGCAGCAGGTGACCGGCAGACAAGGGGCTAGATCCTGGGTCTGCGTGCACCAAGACTTGCTCCCTTCACTCCCCGGGCCAGCAGAGATTGCAGGGGATGAGAAGTACGGCTCCCCTTTGGGGCTCAAGGCAGAGGGGAGCTGTTTGCCCATGAGAGACCAGGGCTCCTGTTGCTTATTAATCCAGAGCTTGGGGACTCTGCGAAGAGCCACGGGGCCTGGCAGCCAGACTTCCAGCAGCTCCCTGGATCCCCGCCTTGGCTTGTAACGGAGCATCTGGGGCCCAGCTGGGCTCTGTAGCATCCAGAGAGCCGTGACTGCACCTGCGGTTACTAAAGAGCCCCCAAGGAGCCGGACGCATCTCTGTGCTGATCTCCAGTGTATTTCCCCCTGGCTTTGTGTGCCTCCTAGCCTGCCCTATGCCCTTCTGCCACTGCCACGGAGAGGGTGGCACAGGCCGGCTGGGACGTCAGCAGCCAACGCAGCGGACCCAGTGACCCCACCCCTGCCCCGGCAGGGTGGTCCTTTCTTCTCCCCCCTCCACCATGAAGTGCTCCCTGCGGTTTTGGTTCCTCTCGACCGCCTTCCTGCTGGTATTTGTCATGTCTCTCCTCTTCACGTACTCGCACCCCAGCATGGCCTACCTGGACCCCGACAGCCCAGGCAGCTTCCACCGGGTCAGACTGGTGCCTGGCTACGCCGGCATGCAGCGCCTGAGCCAGACCAGGCGCCTCGGGGAGGGCTGCACCTGCCACAGGTGCACGGGGGACGCAGGGGCCTCGGAGTGGTTCACCAGCCACTATGACAGCAGCATCTCCCCGGTGTGGACCAAGGAGAACATGGAGCTCCCGCTGGATGTCCAGAGGTGGTGGATGGTGAGTGAGCCCCTGCCAGGAGGCCCTGGGTCAGTGGATCTCAAGCACTCGCGCTGGGAGGGAGTCCCCTTCTCTTCGTCCCCCCCACCTCCGGTCCGTGCTCTACTCCAGAGCCGCCCTCACCCTGGCCCGCTTGCCACCCGCTCTGCAGCTCGGGCTCTGGAAATAGTGCTCAGCCCCTGTTTCCCTGCAGTTTGTCTCAGCCACCCGGAGGCCGCATGCTGCTGGGCAGGCCGCGTTCCCTGGCCTGCTCGAATGACTGACCCACTCCCCTCTAGGGGCCCAGAACCTGCTGGCAGCCTAGTTCTAATCTATGACATGTCTCTGTGCAAGTGGCCTGCCGGGGCGCCACCTCCACTGGCTCTTGGGGCCTCCCGATCAAATGGGCCCTGGCCATCGGGCAACGAGATGAGCCCCTGCTGGTACTGAGCCCAACTGTGCTCCTAGCTCATGCCCCCCTGATGATACTCTCCCAGGCTGGGCGCTGCCTCTGACCCCTGTGCCGCCCCATTGCCTTCCCTGGGGCTGGGTGCACTGAACAGAGAGTGGAGTTTGGGGAAGTAGGGGCGCTCCCATGTCTAGCCTGTGGGGAGCAGCGTGGTCTAGTGGTTAGTGCACACAGCACAGCCGGCAGTTGGAGCTGACCCTCCATTGCCTGCCTCTCATCAAGTCACTTCCACCAGGGAGCAGAGCTCTGCCGTTCTGCCCTGCCGGCACAGGTGTAAAGTCACACCCCAGTGCATGTGGCAGCAGAGAATCGGGACCCCTGGGCTCCCATCCCAGATCTGCCATTGACATGCTCCCTAGCCTTGGGTGAGTCACTCTGCTGGCCTTTCTTTCCCCAGCTTAAAATGGGGTGAACCTCACCTCGCAGGGAGATGAATGTATCCATGGAGGAGAGGGGTGGTTTATTGCAGGATGGGTGGGTGAGATTCGGTGGCCTGCATTGTGCAGGAGGTCAGACTAGATGATCATAATGGTCCCTTCTGACCTTAATATCTATGAATCTATGAAACGTCAACTCGCATGGGCTGAAGGCTTCCCCTGCTCTCCCCACCCCAGTTCCTAGCGTGTGCTGTCGGGGATTGACCCCCTCTGCTCTGGAGACAGGCAAAAAGAATTTTCTGTATTATCTGGCTGGTGAATCTTGCCCATATGCTCAGGGTTTAGCTGATGGCCATATTTGGGGTCGGGAAGGAATTTTCCTCCAGGGCAGATTGGAAGAGGCCCTGGAGGTTTTTTGCCTTCCTCTGTAGCATGGGGCACAGGTCACTTGCTGGAGGATTCTCTGCTGCTTGAAGTCTTTAAACCACGATTTGAGGACTTCAGTAGCTCAGACGTAGGTGAGAGGTTTTTCGCAGGAGTGGGTGGGTGAGATTCTGCGGCCTGCGTTGTGCAGGAGGTCTGACTAGATGATCATAGTGGTCCCTTCTGACCTTAGTGTCTATGAATCCGGTCTCATGTGCTTTAACCGTGCAGCAAGTAAAGATCCCATCTCCCTGTTACCCTGGCTAGAGAATCCTGGCACGTTCCTGGCGCAGACGGTCTTGGTGCTCATGCAGATGACAGGGGCTGTGGGAGCACCTGGCTAGGTGTGAGGCTGATGTCCTGAAACCCAATTAAGATGCCAGGGATTGCTGGGCATGGGGGGCAGTGAGGAGATCTCTGCTGCTGGTGTTGCTGCCTGTGCACATGGGAAAGGCGATGCCAACGTGAAAGCATTGCTTTTTAGATCTTGCCCTGCTGCCAGCAGCCGCCCTGCTGCTGGGTGCCATGTGCCACAGGCAATTTGGGGACCATGACACAGAGACGCCTTGGTTCTGGGTTTCCAGCCAGCTGTCCAGCTTCCATTCGGGTTGCTCTTCTCCTTGCTCCATGTGCAACACTGGCCTGTACTGCGGGGACCTGTCCTGCCCCTCCTGTCGGGGCCATTAGTTGATGTTCCAGGATTAGTGGCCAAGAGGTGGCATGGAGGCAGTAGCCCCTTCTTTGCCCAGTAGCTCTGGGCAATGAGCCCTCTCTGTCCATGGGCTCGCAGCCTTCGCTGCCTCTTGCTGCACAGCTCTGTGCGGAGATTGCCGGGGCTGTGTAATGGAGAGGCTGCTATTGCTTTGGCACAGCCTAGGCTGCCCAGCTGCTAGCGGAGGGGCTCAGGCTGAGCTAGCAGAAGGAGAGTCTTAGTCTGCTCTCATCCTTGGGATCTCCCATGTCCTTTCTGGGAGTCCACAAGAGCACCTGTGCTCCCGCCCGTCCCTGCTAGTGATTGTGCGTGGGCTCTCAGTACACCACAGGAGGCTCATTCCGTTACCGGGGCTCTTCTTGCAGTTGAACCCGATGCTGGCTCCAGGCCCCGAGAGCCCGACTCCAGTGGCTTAGTGGATAAACTAACCTAGGCTCCTAAATGAGAAGGGGGCAAACTCTGCCTCCCCACAGGGCCCCGCCTCCACCACTCTCCCTACGCTAGCCCTGGATTTGCGGTTGGTGAACGGGTAGGGCCGGGTGACATTTTTCAGCTGAACGGTTTGTTTGCTGAAAAAGGCAGTTTGGGGCTGACCCAAAGTATTGGTGAATTCCTGCCGAGTTCCCTGAATCGCGTCCACCAAATGGGAGAAGCCAGAATGTCTCCTTTGGCTAAATGTTTCCTTTGACCCCCACATTTAGTTTCAACTTTCAGGCATTTTGCCAACAGCAAGCCAGGTTCCCAAAATGGCCAGGGTGGGCCCCACCCTTGTGAGCTTTAGCCCCATGAGTAGGGGAGGATCTGGGTTCATGTCCCCCCCCCCCCACTGCCTGATGTGGAGAAGGGCTTTGAGGTTGGCTCTTCCCCACTGCAGCAGGGAGCCCTGGCCACTGGGCTATGGGCTATTCTGGGATGGAGCTTTCTCAGGCTATCCCGCTCTAACAGGTTTCAGAGTGGTAGCCGTGTTAATCTGTATCAGCAAAAACCGTGAGGAGTCCTTGTGGCACCAAAATTTGTTAGTCTCTAAGGTGCCAGAAGGACTCCTCGTTGTTTCCACTCTGTCTAAATTACTCACTTTGGTGCCCACATCCAAGGTGAGTGCCCTAATCCCCGGGGCAATAGAGTGCTCCTCACTCTTTCCCTGACACGGCTGGATTGTTCATTTGGAATTTCTGTTAGCGCTGACCGTCTTCACTCCCGCCCATGTCTCCTGTGCTGCGGAGAGTGCCTCGGGAGTGGTTATTTGCCCAGCACAGGAGCTTTACTGGCATGTTCCTGACTCTCAGCAATCCAGGGGAGCGCTGCTAACTGGGCATCAGAGCAGCATGCAGTGTCTCCCTTGCAGAACCTGCCTTGGACCCTGCCCGCTTCCACAGCACTGCGGCTGCCTGTCTGGGCACCCCTTGCGACTGGGGGCTGTCGCTGGAGGTGATGGCTGCCGACCACACAGCAGCTGCTGGAGTGGAATGGCCTAATTTCCCTCAGACAGCTGAGTCTAGCCATGGGAGCAGGAGCACTGGGCTGTTTAACTATTGATGATTGCCCTCATGCAGTGTTACTCCTAGACAGTCCCCACGCTGGGATGGGGGGGACAGGAACTGGGAGCTGCTCCACCGCAGTCGCTGGCTCCAGTATGACCTAGCTGGTCCTGCAAACTCTTACCATCCGGGGGGTGTTCAGTGACTGGTATAAAAGCCAGTGATGCTCTTGGGCCAGGCTGATGGGTGGGAGCTCAGGAGAGCATCCCTCTGCAGGGACGGGAGAGGTTCAGCTTGGAACCATCGGCGGGCACAACAGCGTGTTTCACGGCTGCCCTGGGGGTGTATCAGGGCCAGCACGGTGTCTCCGAGCCGGCACTCTGGTTCTCCGCACCAGGCTGCCCTTCCGCCTCCCTTTCTGTAGCCTGCTGCATTTGACTGCTGGGCAGAACAAGGCAGGTGCTTCATATGAGATGCTTTCAGGGCAACGTGGACCGAAATCGCCAGCTGGGACCTGTGAGGATTCCCATCCCTACAGTACCTGAGCCCCACAAACACTGAGTTCCTCCTTAACACCCCTGTTTTATAGATGGAAACCAGCGGCACAGGGAGAAATGAGAGACTTGGCCAGGGTCAGCCAGGGAATCTGTGGCAGAGCCAGGGAGCTGACCCCAGATCTGCAGAGACCGAGCCTGATGCCCAGTCTGTTAGAGCCTCCTGCCCTCCAGCGTGATTGTGTTTTTAAGCAGGGTAGGCCCGTGTCCACTTGTGTGTGGGTGTAACTCAAGAATAAGGAAGTGAGCGGAGTTAAGAACGGTGTGAGTGAGAACTGGGTCCCTCGTTGTCTCACTTGTCTCCGAAGCACCAGGCCTGCCCCTGGCACTATGTGAACCGTCCTTTTCGACACTCTTCCATCTGGCTGGCGATGGGTTTCATTAGAACTTTCCCCTGCAGTGCTGGCAAACCAGCCTGCTGCCACGCGAGTGTGACAGAGTCTGGCTGGGCAGTGCACTGGAAAAGAGGGTGACTTCATTAGCTCAATTCTGCTGTCCAAGCCGGGAGAAAACTGTAAAAAGATGGGCTTAGGGACCAGGAGGAGACCTCATGTGTAGGCAGATTATGCCTATCCTGGGGTCCCTGCAGTTGCTGGAGGAGGAACATTGATTAGATGGGCTTTGGGTGTGATCCAGCCTGGCAATTCTGTATTCCTGTTTAATGGTGCCGAATAAAGAGCTTTCAAACATAAGAACACGGTCTGGAAGGGTCCTCTTGGGTGGTCAAGTCCAGCCCTGCTGTCACAGACAACCCCATAATACCATCCTGGTCGTAAGCTCCATCTTCAGAAGTAAAACCAGATAAAACCCCACCCTGCCTTCCCATGTTACTAAGCCAAAATAGTGTAGATGACACAGGGAAGGAAACAGCATAGTTAAAAATGCAAATAATTTGAAACCTGATGTTGCTGGTTTTCCTCTCCAAAACGCTTTTGTCTCAAAAGGATTTGGCTTAAATGCAAAGTCTTACAGTCCGTTCAAAGTATTTAAGAAACCCAAGCTGCACATGGGGCATCATCTCAGCTAGGCACAGCTCACGCTGGCTTCCCCAACCACCCAATTGCAAGAGAGACTCTGAACAGGAGTAGCAGTGGCTGATGTGCGGTAGCTGTGTGCCAACTGCTTTGGCTTGTTATCCAGCCGGGGGGTTGAACCCAGGCAGGGTGAGTAATCCCCTTGGGCCCTCTGGGTGCTGCAGCAAAGCCTACTTAATGCTGAAGCTGTATTTCAGATTGCCGAGCCTCTGATGGGATCAATGCCGTCCCAAGGTCTTGCACTTTTAACTTTGTCTTTAAAGGCACAGGGGTTGAGGGGCAGTGCAGAAGTCTTGGGCCCAGACTGAACATATGTTTCTCTTCCTTTAACACAGGGGTGGGCAAACTACGGGCCAGATCCGGCCTGCCAGCCAATTTAATCTGGCCCTCAAGCTCCCGCTGGGGAGCAGGGTCTGGGGCTTGCCCTGCTCTGGCGCTCCAGCCAGGGATCAGGGTTGGGGGCCACTCCACTCGGCTCCTGGAAGCAGCAGCATGGCCCCCTCCAGCTCCTACACATAGGTGCAGCCAGGGGGCTCTGCTCTGCACGCTGCCCGCACCCCAAGTGCCGCCCTCGCAGCTTCCATTGGCTGGGAACCACAGCCAATAGGAGCTGCAGGGGTGATGCCTGGGGATGGGACAGCATGCAGAGCCACCTGGCCGAGCCTCTCCATAGGAGCCTCTGCTTTCGGGAGTCACTTGAGGTAAGCACTGCCCAGAGCCTCCCCCCGGCCCCAACCCCCTGCCCCAGCCCTGCCCCCTCCCACCCTCCAAACCCCTCGATCCCAGCCTGGAGCACCCTCCTGCACCCCAAACCTCTCATCCCCAGCCGAGAGCCCTCACCCTCCACCCCCCAGAGCCCAGAGCTCCCTCCCACACCCTGAACTCCTCTTTTCTGGCCCCACCCTGGAGCCCAACCAGAGCCCTCACCCCCTTCCTTTCTCCTCCCATTTCCCCCCCCACCACTGGGGTCTCTAGTCCTGTCCCAGGACCGCTGTTCATGCTGCTCCCATGCCCATCGGAGCTTGCTGCTGAGGCTGGCACCATCTCCTTTACCCAGTGCCCCGGGAGCGGCTGCCAGTCGGATGTCGATGGGCGCAGTCTGAGCAGTGCCTGGCAGCAGGACTGTCTAGCCCAGGTGGGCTGCTGGGGCTGGGTGCCAAGGAGATGGGTGCTATAGAAACCTCTCCCGGCCTGACGTCTCACTGGCCGTTGTGTGTCTCCGCAGATGCTGCAGCCCCAGTTCAAGTCCCACAACACTAATGAAGTCCTGGACAAGCTCTTCCAGATCGTGCCGGGCGAGAACCCCTATGGTTTCCGTGACCCCAGGAAGTGCTGGCGCTGTGCTGTGGTGGGCAACTCGGGCAACCTGCGTGGCTCTGGCTACGGGCGAGAGATCGACAGGCATGACTTCGTCATGAGGTGGGTGGCCAGTGCTGCCGGGGAGGGGCTGTGGCTGGCTCCCATGGGGCGGTGAGCTGGGGGCGGAGGCACGGTCTCAGCGTTGGGCTGGCTTTTGCTTCAGATAATGTCTGAGCAAACTAGGTGGGAGCACTTTGCCCACACATGCTGCTCTTGCCTGCATTTCAGAGCACCTTTTCCTCCTCCAGGCAGTTGAGTCCCCTTCTCACTCGGGCCTGGCTCTGTGCGGGGTGAACCCTCTGCCTCCAGGCTCCTTTCATCAGCTCAAGTCTCTGGACATGGCCGCTGGGCAGGGGAAGAGCTGCATGTATCGGGGCTGTCATGTGTCGCTGGGGGGCGGCTGTCTCTGTGACAAACAGCAGAACGCATGCACGCCGAGTGGCAGCCAGGCTGGGACCTGCCGAGAAAGCAGGGGTGTGCAGAGGGGCGGCTGCATCTGACCTGCTGCTGCAGTGTTTAGCACCGGCTGTGTCAGGTCGCAGCCCCTCTGGGTATGTCTGTGCAGCACACTGAGCCCGGGCTGCGACTCAGGTTTGAGCCCACAGCCTCTTCCATCCACAGACACATCAGTCTGCTGGCTGACCCGAATCACTCAGCACCCAGGCATTAGGAGCATGCTAGGAGGTGAGTCAGAGCCCGAGTCCTGCTGTGATTCAGGTCCAAGCCCTGTTTCATAGTGTGGCTGCAGGGCCGAGCAGGAGGTCTTAGCATGACTGTGAGACCTGTGTCCAGCAGCTGTCAGCCCAGGTTCACCATGCCGTGAACCACAAGCCCAGGTCCCTCAGCCCTGGGTTTACAATACAGTGTAGATGTACCCTCGGAGGCCAGGTGTGGGGCCAGAGCTACAATGGGAATGAGTCCCTAGCCCAGCAGCTACAAGGGAAGGCGGCTGCTCCCCGCTCACAAGTTCCCAGCTCCCTATACTCACCCTCAGCCTGACTGGGAGGCTCAAGCCAAGTACTCAGGCCCTTTTTAGTAAATGGTGGTGGTGGGGAGGAACAATCTTTCTCCATTCTTTTAAAGACCTTTCTGCACACCTATCGTTGAAATAGCGGAACTATAAAATCTCTGTACCCAACTTCCCCATGGCCTCCCGCAATGGGGTGCGGTGGAAAGGCAGGTTTCTCAGCATGCTTTGGTGGCACAGTGCAGGCTCAGGGCGGAAAGAGTCGGCTACTTGCAATGTTCAGGATCACCAGTAGAAAAGCATCCAGGGTTAGAGACCCCACGACATGCTCTGGTTGAAGCACACGCTGAGCTGGGTGCAGAAATCGCTGGCAGAGATCCCCTGGCCAGGATGGTGCAGGAGGTCAGACTACATGACCACGATGTGCCGAACTGGCCCTCAAATCTATAGCCGCTGGCCGATCTAGCACTGGCTCATCCGCCTTCGTGGTGGGGACTTGCACCTCCTTCCTTCTTGATGCCCCGCCGTGATGCCCATCTCTGCACTGGGGGGACCAGGGATCCCTCACTTGCTGTGCGTGGCAGCAGTTGTGGAGGCTGCGGGGTAGACACTGGTTGGGTGTTTTGGCCTCCATGGTGTTTAACCTTGCTGAGAGGACCTTCCTTCCATCCAGCCTTCGCTTCCTAGTCCAGCTACATCCTGAGACAGCTCTGCTCTCTGATCCATGCTCTGTGCCCGAAAGACGTGGCCCCAAAAATAAGAACGGCTGGGTGCAATTGCCCACATAGGCCCAAGAGCTCTTTAAATCTCTGGAAGATGGGTTCAGAGGCTCCTGAATCACCTGGGGAGCACAAGTTCTGGTGGAGCTGGTGTTCCTAAGTCACTTGGACCCTTTTGAAAACCCCACTGCTGCGTACCCTGCTCCGCATGCTTGTTTCCCCTCTCGGGAAGCCCGAAGGCCTCTTACCAAGAGCCTTGGGGGAATGGTCCAGGTGGATCAGCCACTTGCTGTCCATTTTCATCAGTCTCCCTTCAGCTGGTCACTGGATGACCCTGAGCAGCAGCTAGAACACCTGGCCGTTCCCCTGCCATTCTCAGACACCTCCCTTCCCCGCGCTTTTTTCTCCAACCCCTTCCCTGGCCAGGCTCCGCACCACGGCGTAGCTAGGGCCGCATCACTGTTCCTGTCATAGACTCTCCTCCTCCCTCTTCCCTTAGCAGCTAGCAGGAGGAAAGCCCACAATTTGAGGACTTCAATAGCTCAGACATAGGTCAGGGGTTTGTTTTGGGTGAGGTTCTGTGGCCTGCGTTGTGCAGAAGGTCAGACTAGACGATCCTAATGGTCCCTCCTGATCTTAAAGTCTGTGATTCTAGTCTGTGATTCTATCTGGATGTGGCCCAGTTGCCTTTGCTGTCTCACCGCCGTGATCACTCCTGCTGGCTTTGTCCTCTGCCGGCTGGAGCTCGCCTTCTGACACAGGAGTCAATAAATCCAGGCCCTGGGGCTGCTGGCACACGTGGGGTTGTGTTTGTGCAGAGGCTGGATTCTGTGTGCCCTGGGACTGCCCAGGATCAGGGAGGGTATATTTGGGCCAGGTTGTCCTATATGCAGGAGGGAGGCCCGTGGGGACAAGCTTCCCATGAGGAGTTGCTGCTCTGCAAGGGAAGTGGAGGGACAAGAGAGGATGTCACCCTGACTCTGCGAGGGGCTGGGAAGGTTCAGCTGCATGGAGAGGTCCCTGTCTAAGTTAATGCTGACCCAGGGTTATCAAAAACACTGGAGCTTCGCAGCCATGGGAAATTATGGCTCCAAAAGTATCCAAACCCAGGTGAGGGCTCTGAGACCAATCAGGGCTCCTTGGATGCCATGGGAGGCTACCCTGTGCCTCCAGGCTCCTCTGCAGCGAGTGTCGGGTGCTAAGCGCTGAGATTGTGCAGTGTAATTTTCTGGGAGAATCCTGGGGAAACATTCCTAGCTTCTGAAGTAGGGCTGTGATCAGGAATGTGCTTCTCCCCAAAATCTCAGCTGCAAGACAGGGCTGGCAGTCTGCCTGGATAACTGGTCCCATCTATCTTCATCAATGCAGAGGCTTACCCAGCCATCGCTGACCAGAATCCGCCCTCACTGTGTGCATTGCTCTACCTGACTGTTATGCAGGATGCTGCCAGTCGATTGCCAGCCCAACGTCCTCTGTCCTGTGGCAGCTGCCTCTCAGTGGTGCTGCACTGCACCTGTAAAGGTTCGTGAAGCCCCGAGGAGCCTTTGGGATGGAAGGCGCTGTAGAAATGCCTGGCTGTTGTTTACTCTCCCTCTGACTTTCTGATGCCGTTCACTCACCTAAGACAGAACAAAACTCACTCTACCTGCCAGCTCAGCTTGGTATCTGAAAATCAAGCTGTTCCTCCTGCCCCATACGTAGGGTCCTACCAAATTCACAGGAATGAAAAACGCATTGCGGACCATGAAATCTGCTCTCCCCCTGGGAAATCTGGTCTTGTGTGCTTTTGTCCTACACAATATAGATTTCACGGGGGAGACCAGTGTTTCTCAAACTGGGGGTCCTGAGCCAAAAGGGAGTTGCAGGGGGGTCGCAAGGTTATTTGGGGGGCGGTATTGCCCCCCTTACGTCTGCTGCCTTCAGAGCTGGCTGGCCGCAGAGCGGCAGCTGTTGTGTGCTGCCTTCAGAATTGGGTGCCAGACTAACAGCTGCTGCTCTGTGGCTGCCCAGCTCTGAAGGCAGCGCCCCCATCAGCAGCAGTGCAGAAGTAAGGGTAGCAGTACCCCCACCCAACACTAACCTTGCGATCCCCCACACGACTCCTTTTTGGGTCAGGGATCTTACAATTACAACACCGTGACATTTTAGAGTTTAAATAGCTGAAATCATGACATTTATGATTTTTAAAATCCTACAACAGTGAAAGTGACCAAAATGGATGATGAATTTGGCAGGGCCCCACCCCCATGTAGCTAGCCGAGAACAGTGCTGGAACCAGAATGCAGCAGCTGCTGCAGGAGGCAGGAATCGTTCCATCTCCACCTTCGCTGCAGTCTCGCTGCCCCAGAGGAATTGTATCGATCCTTCCGTTAGGACGTTGCTCCAGAAACCAGCTCCTGACGCTGACAAGATTGTCTATTACTGCCCTGTCTAATTGCCAATCCTCAGGGAAGCTCACGGAGAATGTTTTCCAGGCTGGCCTGTGCATGGTGCAGAGACCGGTCCCCGCAATGGCTCGATCAGGGATCCATGCTAGCTTATGTCATCATGCCAGCAGCCTCTGGCACTGTTTGTTTGGGGGGCGGTGGTTACTGGCCTGTGGATGGCAGTCAGAACGGCCCATAGCTGTTCATTATCTGAGCACTGCCCCATCCTGCACAAAATGAGCCAGGAGTGCTGCATGGAAAGTGGTCATGTCATTAAAGCCTGCATTGTCAGGCGTGTGTGTGTGTAACAGAACATATATGGGGTTAGTCACGTTCCACGTGCAGCCTGGGCTTCTCCAGAAACTGTCTCCTTGTCCAATTCCTGCTTCATTGCTGCAGCGTAGTGGTGAAATGCAGCTTGAACTTCGGGTGACCTGGTACAGTGCAGCAAGGAGCTCTGGATGGCGGAAAAGAGCAAAGTCACAAGAGAAACGTGACATCATGACTCTGCTGATGGCAAGAGCCATTGAGTTCCTATATTAATAGCGTTCACAGCCAGAAGGGACCATTAGATCAGCTAGCCTGATCACTTGTGTATCACAGGCCATTACATTTCACCCAGATAGCCTTGTATGAAGCCCAATAACTTGACTTTGATGAGATCTTCCTGAAAGGCATCCAGCCTTGATCTGAAGGCATCAAGAGATAGAGAACCCGCTACTTCCCATGGCAGTGTCACCCTGCTAGTCAGGTTTCAGAGTAGCAGCCATGTTAGTCTGTATTCACAAAAAGAAAAGGAGGACTTGGGGCACTTTAGAGACTAACAAATTTATTTGAGCATAAGCTTTCGTGAGCTACAGCTCACTTCATCGGATGCACACTTTTCAGCTAGTCACCCTGGCTGGGAACAATTGATGCGGGAATGGATAGCTCAGTGGTTTGAGCATTGGCCTGCTAAACCCAGGATTATGAGTTTAATCCTTGAGGCAGCCATTTAGGCATCTGGGGCAAAAATTGGGGATTGGTCCTGCTTTCAGCAGGGGGTTGGACTAGATGACCTCCTGAGGTCCCTTCCAACCCTGATATTCTATGATTCTATGAATTTGTGCCCAATTTCTGTCTGGCTTCAGCTTCCAGCCAGTGGTTCTCATTCAGTCTTTCTCCTCTCGGTTAAAGACCCTGTTAGTACCAGCTTATGCTCAAATAAATTTGTTAGTCTCTAAGGTGCCACAAGTACTCCTTTTCTTTTTGTTAGTGTCAGGGATGTTCTCCCTGTGAAGGTACCTGCATGCTAATCTAGTCACCTTGCAATTGGCCTTTTGACGAGCTAAACAGACAGAGCTCTTTAACTCTCTCGCTCTAAGGTGTCTTCTCCAGCTCTCAGATCAATTTTGTGGCTCTTTTTCTGCATCCTCTGCAATTTTTCAACATCCTTTTTAAAATGTGGACACCAGAACTGGATGCACGATTCCAGTATCGGTCCTATCAATGCCATGTTCAGAGGTAAAATCACCTCTTTGCTCCGCACTTCCCTGCTTGTACAAGAAGGATCATGCGAGCCTTCTTGGCCACAGCATCACACGAGAGCTCATGTCGCCCCTAAATCTTTTTCAGTCACTGCTGTCTAGGGCACAGTCTCCTATCTGGCTTCCTTGCAGTCCTGGCCCTAGGTGTATGACTTTGCATTTGGGTGTACATATTTACCACATTTTGTTTGACTGGTGCCATCTTGCCAAGAAATTCAGATCGCTCTGTATGACTGTCCTGCCCTGCCCTCGTTATTTAGAACTCGGCCAATTTTTGCGGGGAAGGGGGTTAAATTCCCAGGGTTACTCACTCTGGCCCATGGAGCTGGTCTGCACTGAGGAATATTGGGAGTTGGGAAGTGCGTTCCCCGGGGCTGAGTTCTCCCATAGTTGCTACTGCAGGGTCTCTTGCTCATTCCGCTGAAGCATCTAGCCCAGGCTGCTCTCAGCTGGGATGGATCCCTGGCCTGGTCCAGTCTGGCAGTGTCTCTGTTCCTATAACTTGTTGAGGCTGAGGCCTCACTGGGCCAGGTGCTGTACAAACACCGACCGTGAGATAGTCCCTGCCCCAAAGTGGAAAACCGTGGCTTTAAAAGCAGCATTACAGTTTGGCGTTGAGTGCACGTTTGCTGGACCGCAGTCCTGCTTCTCTCTGTCGCACTGACACTGCTCACCGTGACGTCGTGTTACAGCTAAGGGCTGGCTGCTCAGCTCCCGAAACTCAGGGTGATGTTCAAAGGCTGCTGTGGGGGTTTAGCCTGGCTCCAGCTCGGGCCCTGGCTGTGTGCCTGAGAGGCACAGGTGTAGGTATGCTGGCTCGGGATCGTGCCGTTCTGAACCCTGCAGGATTGTAGCTGGGATTGCTTTACAAAAAAATTGTTTTGTCTTTAAAGAAAAGAGGAGACAGCTGAAAATAATAAGCCCTCGATTAATGCGGCACCAAGGCTGGAGACTGACCAGTGGGGGAGGGAATAGAAAGGGTTCCTTGCGTTGATTACTAAGCACATACCCAGTGTACCTAGCTGAAGCAGGATTGCAGTTTCTAATTGCTGCCCTGTGTGTCTAACCAATCCAATTGCTCTGTGGAAATGACCTGAAGGTCATGACTCGGTTGCTCTCTCTGCAGAATGAACCAGGCCCCCACAGTGGGGTTTGAAGCAGATGTCGGGGGCAGGACCACCCATCACTTCATGTACCCAGAGAGTGCCAAGAACCTGCCTGCCAACGTCAGCTTCGTGCTGGTGCCCTTCAAAGCCCTGGACCTGCTGTGGATCACGAGTGCCCTGTCGACCGGGCAGATCAGATTGTGAGTAGCCAATTGTGGGAAGAAACACGCCTTTGGCCAGCGAGCTCTGTGATGCTGTGTGCCAGCCCCTCTGGCACCACGTGGGGGTCACAGAGCCTGTCCCCATTGGGCTGCTGGCTCCCAGTACAGGGCTGGTAATGAACAGAAGCCACCGTCTTGTGATGCTTCTGCTAAGAGTCCGATTCTGCACCACTGAAAGCCAGTAGTGTGAATGTTCCCATTGGTTCCTTGGGCAAAGGATCAGGCCCTAAATGAGCCTCTCGTTCAGCTTTCTGTGGTATTTAGAAGTGCCCAGGGCACGCCCCAGGTGGCAGCCCCTCTAGGTGGGGGAGGAGACTAGCTAGTAGGACACAGTGCTGGGGAGGCTGGCCAGGCTCTGCGTGAGCTGGGCCTGCTCGGTGCTCGGAACGGGGGACTTCGATCTGCGGGGCTGGTAGTGTTCGCCAGCACGGAACTCCCTTGGAAGGCAGGAGGGCGGGGTGGGCGCGAGCCGGTGGTTTGACTGGGAGCCACAGACTGGGTGGAGAGTTACAGCATCTGCCTACTTAATTTGGGGCACCAGGCCACTGAGAATGTGCGATCCCGAACCAGAACCCTTTAACGCCTACTGTGCGAAGGGTGCCCTGGGGAGACTCTGAGGAGCTCTTCTTCCACCTCGTCTCTCCCCGTCAAGCTTGTTTAATGCTGAGCAGAGCATGCCCCTGCGAGTGTTGCAGTAATCCCTGCCTGCCACCCTCTGCAGATGCCCTCACAGGCTGGTAACTCGCCCTCGCTGCTTTACCCACAGAGTGAATTGGAACCATTCCTAATGCAGGGAGGGCCTCCTCACTGCTGCCCTCCAGGGGAAAGGTGTGGTACTGCCTGAGGTACCTAAGTATTCGGAAGGGCACCTCCTTCTAACACTATCCCATAATACTAGAATGAGAAGCCATTGCCAAGGTGACTGGAAGGTAAATGCAGGGAAAACAAAAGGAAATGGTGGGGGAAATGCATAATCTCTCTGGACCTCTGTTCCCCCATCTCTAAAGTGGGGGGTCTGTCTGTCTCCCCCCAGGAGGAAGGAGGAGTGCATTGGCAGTTCCCCTTCACCACAGGGCAGAAGGGGACCTTGGCAGGCTTGGATCCCTGTTTCAAAGGCCCTGATTCAGGGTGGTACTTAGGCATGTGCGTAACCTTAAGCACCTGAGCATTGCACCTGATGTCAGTGGGACCAGGCATGTGCTGCAGTACCCTCCTGAATTGGGCCGCAAGTGACTGACTTCTCCCATTAATTGTGCCGTGCCTTGTGTGTACCCTCTAACGATAAAGCCTTGTGGAGTGCTGTGTGGCTTCGGCGATAATCTGCCTCTCTCCTATTCCAGCACATATGCGCCTGTGAAGCCCTTCCTTCGCGTGGACAAGGAGAAGGTAAGGCTGGCTCCAGGCTCCCTTTCCTAGCCCAGCCCTGACTGCAGGGAGGCTGCAGAACACCCTGCTCAGCATCCTTCTGGCTAGAGAAACCCCCACTCCTGGTCCCCTCTGGGGCGTTCCCCTTAACTCTGCCTTGGCTCTTCAGCACTGAGAACATGGGCAACCGTTCCAGCCCAGTCTTTGTCCAACAGCTTCATCCCTGGTGCAGACAACGCTGCATGGGCTCTGGGGTAGCTAGAAGCCAGAGGATGTTGCTGTATCTTGACAATGAGGGGTAGCGTGAACATCTCAGACTCTTCGCTTCTTGTGGTTCGGGGGTCGCCTTCTTCCAAAGGTTGCACCATGTTCTGCTGCTCCCAAAGCTGATCTTGCATTCAGTTGTGTCCCTGTGAGAGGGGTGGCCTGGAGCTGGTCAGTACTGGGAGAGCATGCCAGATTCCTGCAGAACCAAGCAATGTGGGACTGACTTTGCAGTGCCCAAATTGGAAGACCGTTTCTGACCATCAGAGGAGGGAGGTTCTAGACCCGACTACACTCCTGAGCTACTTGTCCATGTGCTTCTCCCCCTCCCTGTGTTTGGTTTTAGGGAGCATTTACATAGCCTGACCTCTGCACCTTGGCTTTCTTGCAGGTGCAGATCTACAACCCAGCCTTCTTCAAATACATTCACGACAGGTGGACCGAGCACCACGGGCGATACCCCTCCACGGGGATGCTAGTGCTATTCTTCGCGCTTCATGTTTGCGATGAGGTGGGTTCAGGAATGGTTGGTGAGGCCACCGGGACAGGGCCAGAAATCTGGGGTTCCATGTGACATGCCCTCCCCTGCCCTCGCCACCTCACTACGCTGGCAAGAGACAAATTGTCCAGCAGGGCACTGGCCAGTAACACTCAGTCCTAGCCATCTTCATGCAGCTGGTACCATGCCTAGCGTCCCTGCACGGCAGCACAGCGTTGCCAAAGTCTGCCCGTGGTTGCCAATGGTGACTGTCTCCTAGACAGCAGTTTGCTGCTTCTGTCTATCCATCTCGTGCTGAAATGGCCTGAAAAAGCCAATCCAAGTTCCGCGTCAGACTTGCAGGCTTCCTTACTCTGGGGAAAGCATCGGCTCCCTCTGGGAGTGGTGGTGATTTGCCGGGAGTGGTGGCAGGGCTTCTTACTCGGGCTGGGCTGAGGGTTCTGCTTTGGGTAGCTTCTTCCCAGGGTTTATCTGAAGCCCACTGGGCCACTTGATACCTTTCCTTAGCCGCCCCTTAGAATCTCTTCAGTCAGGCAAAATGCAGACAAAACCTTCCGTGTTTCAGAGATCCCGAGTCAAATGGGGCCACGATCATCTAGTCCGACCTCCTGCATGACCCAGGCCAGAGACCTTTCCCCCCCTCCCCTCCCACAGTGTTACGTAGCACAGTGGTGCCCACTCTCAAACTGTGACCCAATCTTAAAAGCTAGAGAGACCTTAATTCTAGCCCATGCCACTGACATGCCTCACCAAACTACAGAATGAAGCCGTGCTCGTGACCTGCCTTGCATATCCAGGGTTATGCAGACTTTAAATTGGAGCAAAGAGGTTGCTTGTGGGATCAACTTCTCTGTCCGATGGTCCGCACATATCTCAGTATGATGACTCCGAATTCCTGGTGCACAGAAAGGCTTCCCTGAGTAGATTGCTGTCATGTACCATGTTACACCGGAGTGCAGGATTTCCCAGGCTGGATCAGGCACTGGTCCAGCATCCTGGGTCCAGCCTTGGCTAATGCCTGATGTGTCAGAGGCAGGCAGAAAAACCCACAATGCACCTTCCTGCCCCGTGCTGCTTCCTGCCCAGCTCTGGTGTAATTGGTGTTCCCCCATCTCTGGCGGCAGGTGAATGTCTTTGGATTCGGGGCAGACAGCCGGGGCAACTGGCACCATTACTGGGAGAACAATCGCTACGCAGGGGAGTTCCGGAAGACCGGAGTGCACGATGCGGACTTTGAGGCGCACATAATTGACATGCTGGTGAAAACCAGCAAGATCAACGTTTACCGCGGCAACTGATGCTCTGGGCTCTGTCTTCGGCTTTCATTTCAGAATCAGGTTTCAAGTGACGGGACAGCTGTCACAGGCCTTGCTGTGACAGATCCCCGACCAATCACAATGAGCTACAGGGTTCGCTCTGAGACCCACCTGACCAGTGGCCAAGTGGGGGTACTTGGTTCTGCCGGCCAATCATGTTTAGAGAGAAAAGGAAACTTCTTTTTGTTTAAAACTTTCGGATGAAAAGGATTTACAAAGAAAACTGGCCCCTGGTTACGTTGGAGGCTTCCAGCCCGGTTTTCCTCATGGTCAAACCAAATGCTGCTCTTTTTTTAAAACCAATCCTGATAATTTCAGAACAAAGCCCAACCAATCATGGCCACAGGCTGAAGGCAAGCTGCATGTTTCGACCAATCAGATTTTCTTTTCCCCATTGGCCCAATCTCCCAGTGCAATGACACTAGCCTGTGAGCGTCAGCGCTGACTGACCCTATGGAATGGGTTGGTTTCTACATGAAACACCCAGGTGAACGTCGCCTTTTTTAATGTCTCCTTTTAGGCTCCAGTGACACTTTATTTTGTACAATCTGGTTCAAAATGCTGAGCAGCCAGTCAATTCCTTTTGCGTGTCAGCACAATCAGTTTGACTGGGAAAGTTCCAGCTTGGCAAAGGGAGGGGATGAGAGAGTTAGAGGAAGAGGTGTCGGGCGGTTCTTGGCTTTTTGACAGCCAGCTGGGTCCAAACCATTCGGAATGGAGCCTGCTGAGAAGAGTTCTTGCTGAGCAGAGGATTTTAAAGCCTTTGGAAACATCAAGAGGGAGGAAGACCCTGCCCTGGTGGAGAAGCAGCATTTGGGTGCTTCTGATGTAGGGTCTTGGCAGACTGCAAGTTTCTGAGACTGGTCAGTGGTTAAAGTTTGTCGGGAGCTAGTCTCAATAAGTGGGAGGAAAGGAAAAGAGGGGGAACCTCCGTTTAAAGCCTGGAGTCTGCCTTTTTACTCCCGTGAGAAGGAGCAGTGTCTTGCTCTAGGACTGACTGGTATGAAGAGAAGCCATGCCAAAGGCAGCTAAGAAATCTGAAGAGCCTGTGTCTTAGACCGCTTCCCCATCTCCATCCCAACCCCACCAGGGTTTAGAGAGGGAAGGGGGAATTCTCTAATCTAGAACCACACCCTACCGCCCCACACCAGTCCCTCCCCCACAAGTGTTGCCTCCATTATCTCTTCCACCAGAGCATGTTCTTGCAACAAGCAGTCCTTGTCTTTGCAAGAAGCCGGTGTTTTTACCAATTATGATGACAGGGAAGTGGTGGCCCGTGGCTGAGTAAGATCCTGCTTTTCCAGGTTCATTGTAAATTGCCCAGCTCATCCTCACATCAGAATGAAGCTGTGGTGGCAACTTCCAGCCAAATGGCTAGTTGCTAAGCTGTGGCGAAGGGATTGTCCTTGCAGATAGACAGCTGATCTCATTGCTGATGTTATGGGCAGAGACTCTCCTCTCTCTAGATGGCTGCTTCTCAGCATTGCTGATGCTAATTTGCCCCTGCAAAGAGAGAGCTGGGACAGGTAGTGAGAATTGGCTGGTGGGCATCAAAGGAAGACTAGAAAGGAGCTGGGAGGATGGATTTGTAGAGAACTTGCTAGGGAGGCACCAGCTGAAAGCTATCTGAATCAAGGTAGGGGGCCGTCCTTGATGGAGATCACAACATTAGTGCTTGGGCTGGGGGTGCTTCTGCACACTAGATAAAGAAAAAAATAGATTTCCTTTCTGTTGCAAGATGAAAGAGCAAATTGTAGAACACTTAGAACTTTGGTGAATGAAGTGTCTTTAAAAATAGAAAACTAAATCTAGACGGCCCAAATCTAGAAGAGCTTGCCCCATTTTTAATCATGACTGACCTCTAGGATTTGACTCATCCGTGGACTAATTGCCTTTGGGCGGGAGACTGAGTTAAAGGTAATGGGAAAGGCTTCTGTGAAATCTTATAACCACTGGAAGGAGTATCTCATACACTGACTTTCACAGGATCCCTTTCGCAAGCCGAGACCTCTTTGCATACCCTTAACTCTTCTCACCCAATAGGGATGTCCTGCCCTTCCTGTGCATTCATTTTAGCTTGACTTGGACCATGCCACTGGACTGGAGCCCAACCTAAGCCATCTAAGCCAGTCCCTGCTTTGCGCTCTGCCTTCGTGGGGTTTAAGGCTACAGACACAGTTAAGTGAGAGCTCCTGGCCTAGCGGTATGATGCAAAGAGAGAGTGAAATAACCTCATCCAACTATAGAGGAGGCTTCCCTGTTTGTTTGGGGGGATTGGTCCAAACTGGGGTGTGTTCCATTAGGGAGCAAAGCCTGCAGCTATGAAATGTTCTCACAGGTATTAGCTAAATCAAAGGAGAATGGCTTCTTATTTCTTGGTTGGCTGGGTTTTTCAGGTAGGTATCTGATTAATTAAATAAAATGCAATCATGCCAAACAGTATAGAATGGAATAATTTATTCTGGTTTGTATCATAGTTGGATTGTGTGGTATTGGGAGACACAGGGCCCAGAGTGGCCAGATCTCCTTTTTGCAATAGTTATTTAAAGAAATTATGATAGGGAAAGGGAGTTCTTTTTGTATCTGTGACTTTTCTGTATGGCAGTCTCTCCCGTTTTTGAGGTTTCTTCTGCAGTTGTGAAATGTACGTTCTTGGGCCTATTACAGCAGCCAAACAGATGGCTCTTGTTTTCAGTCTACAGGGCTCTAAAGAAGTGAGGCTGGTGAAGGTCTGAGGCCGTTTTTAAAAACGAAAGGTTCTGCTTGTGATGTCATGCAATCACATGACCTGCTTGCCAAGCAGTCATTTTGGATAATCAAGGGCAAAAGAGGTAACTCCATAGTAGTGACCCTCTGAGGCTTGTAATAGTGTACTGGAAACCAAAAGTCAGCAAGTCATTGCATGCTGGGGTGTTTGACAGGACAGTAAAACCTGTGTTCTTTCTGCACCTCTCTCTTCTTGGGAACCAGGGGAGGGAGATGTGATTTAGTGCAAGCCCAGTCTCTGTATCTTTTTTTTTTTTTTTTTTTTTAGAAATAAAAAACAAACCATGAGCACCAAAGAGTGCCTTGAATCACATACTGTCTGTCATACTGGACTCCACCCACTGACCATGCTGTGTCTGGGGTTCACGAACCATGCCAGGATGTCGATGTCTGCTTTTAGTGGCAGTCTTGGCTGCTTCCTTCATTGTTTCCATGCTGCCATGTTAAAAACAAATCTGAGCAAGGTACTGGGGTTAGCTGAAAAATGCCACTCGTGGGGAGAGTAGAGATGCTGCCAGATGCCGCCTTTTCTGGAGCTGCTGCTGCAATTCCAAACCTGCTGCTGCTCTCGGTGCTGGCTGGTGCAACGGGATGAGAGAAGCACCTGATTAAAAATCCAGTTGCTGTCTTTGGAAGGGTTGGTCTCACTCCTGGCTCATGGGCAGAGGCAGGACTGGCTTGACAATCAAGGAGTGACAGGAGCCACCCTACCAACAAATGGGATGTTTCCATGCGGTCTCGAATCCAAGAGCCAGTCCTGTAGGAGGATGAATTATTCCATTTTCCAGTTAGTTCTTGGAAAATAATCTTTAGTTCACCCTGCTACAAGGACTTGCTAACACTTCTTTCCTTGGCAGACTGGCCAACAAACGCCTGCATGAGCATGCTGCAACCCACCCCCACGGAAAAGGGAACGTGGAGGCCATTCTCTACAAATACCACTGTACTGTACATAGAGGAAACTACACAGAGGCTATGGGCAAGGTGCACTGGTGCCTTCCAGAATGGAGCAGAGATGGAGAGGAGACTAGTGGAACCAGCTTGGATTCAGCTGAGACTGCCCCAGTTTGTTATCTCCATCACGATCAAAACAGTTCAGAAATAGCTCTGCACTTAGTCAGGGCTGCCCTGACATGCTGGGATCGGAGCAGCCCTGACATGCTGGGAGCTGCAGAGAGCAAGTTTGTCAATTCATGGCTGGTCCAGGGTGGTTCAGTCTTGAGGAACTTTGAAAGACGACCCAAGGTCCCAATTCTGCATAGATTCCTCCTGCATATGCTCAGGTTCATGCTGCTCCATTCGAGTCAGTGAGGCTGTTCACGTGCATCTCTGGTGGACTGGAGCCCAAAATCCTACCACCATCTGGAGAAATGGAGGGTTCCTCTGTGGTGCACCCATGGGTCCTGTGGTATCCTACTGAATTTACGGTCATCTTCCGGATGCCTTGCAGCGCTTGGCTCTTAGTAAAGGTGACTCATGGTCCAGCCCTGTCTTCATCCACTCTTCCTATAAACCAGTCTGAAAAGCAGCTTGGCAGCCTTCCCGATAGCCTCTGTGTACTTTGCTACTTCTACACACGACTGTCTTAAAACTTTTTTTTGTTTTGTTTTGTTTTTGTTAATAAAAGGATTTAATCTGAAGCCTTCTGTTCCTCTCCTTCTGTTGTAAGCAGCCTGCAAAGCTGAGCCTGCTCTCCCCTGCCCTCTGGTTTCAGTGTTATGCGCACTTCTGCTGTCTTGAAGGGGTTTGTTTTCTTTCATGTGCCACAGTTGGAAAAATGGGGTTTATTTTATGTTGTACAAAATAAAATCTGTATCTGTTCCTTCTCCTGGCATCTGTGTACCTTAGGCCTCTGGTGTCGCATGGTATTTCAGCTGGAGATGAGCAGTAGCTGGAAGTCACTAGTCTAATGAGGAAAGATGGTCAGATTGGCCAAAGCTCTGATTTCACGCTAGCCTTCTCTGGTCCATCTGCTGGGTAGGGCCTGAAAACCCCTGCCTTACCATACTCCATGCAAAGCGTTACATACATTAATTCCTACCCAATATACCTAAGAATACAATCTCACAAGTTCTTTTCACACTCACCTAAACCATCCTATCATAACACCTGCTAGGTCGGCCATTCCAATTCTTGTAATAAACATATGCTACTTCAACAATACAGAATATGAGGAAATACCCATAGGGCTCTGTTCTAATTTATTTGGGGATTTGATTCCTTTTGAAATGATTACTGCACATTTAATGACTAACATAAATTCAACAGTTTTCATTCAATAGTCTGGTATCTTTTTATAAGGCAAAGTGAGCTGTTCACTTTGTCCATAACACAAATGCTATTCAACCAATGTTAGAAATTACTTTCCATAAGACCCAGGGAATTATTCCTGGCCAAAGTCTAATTTCTCTCTTGCAAAATCCCTTCTGCGTTTTCAGGCTTTGTCTGTTCTAGGAAATGTTAGCAAAAAATTCCCCACAGTTGCTATTCCAGGTCTAGCTGTACAGAAATTCGATTTCTCTGCAAGGGCTGGGGATTGAGCCCTGTCTCCAGTGTAGGAGATTCTCCCACTCTTGAGAGAGAAATATAGGCATGTCTTATGTCAGTGAGACCGCAAATAAGCTGTGGAAAGGCTGGTGGCTTAGTGGTAGCATCGGTAATTCATTAGTAGACTATTACCGTGCTTTGTGGGAGACCTGATTATGATTCACAGCTGATACAATTGATTTTTTTCAATGTCCTGTCTCTGTACAATCCCACTGCAGGACCACAATAGAGCTGACAGACATGCACTGTCCATCATTCAGGATCACTGACCGTCCCGCAGAGCTGATTTTCAAACCCCAACCAAATGTCACCCACTTGTCCTGTTAGCCGAGTCATTGTTGTCACTACCTCGCAGCTGCAGCCCCTTGAGCTGTGATCATCTCTGATCCACAGGGCTGGGAGTTGGTCTGCACTGAGGACCAGCCATGGCAGGACAGGACCAGCTGACAGCCTTCCCTTTGAGTCACTCTTGAGCCAAAGCCACAGCCAAGTGATGAGGGACGGGTGCTGGTCGGGGGGAGCATTTTCTGGGGGTGCGCAGTCATGCAGAATTCCCCCAGGAGTAATTTCAAGACGCTGAGCAAGGCAAGTTAGCTTTTTGCCTGTCTTCCTCAGATTGACCTGTTTCCTCACCCCCATAGTTAGACGTGCTGGTCAGCTCCAGAGGGGAAGAAGGTGTGCTGGGCCACAGTCGTGAGATGAGGATTTGGCCAACGCCTTGCCAGCCCACTCTGGGCTCCTGGCCTGAGGGGCTTGCCAACAGGGATTTGGGGCACAGGGCCTGGGAGGGCAAGCCTCTGCGGCCACTTCCCCCACTTGCAGGTAAGTCAACATGGGCTGCTGGCCCTCAGGACTAAGTCACCAGGCCACAAGCTTGCTCCATTCGACCCAATGAGTTGACCTGGTGGCCAGAATTCTTTCCAAGATTTCCCCCCAAATAGCCCCCTGCCCCCCACCAGCAGCAGACTCCCCACACACAGGCTTAGCACATGCTGGGCAGGCTTGTGACTTGGTGCCCCCAAGGAAGGGGAGAAGCAGAAGACTCAGGCCCCTGAGGGGCAGGCTGGGGCTTCCAGGAGCTCATTCACTCACAGCCAGTCCCCCCGCCCTCTCCCAACCCATCAATGGGGCCCCGGGACAGCCAGAAAGGAGCAGCGATTCCCTCTGGATCACGGGTGCCCACGGCTGGCAGGCAGCCCCGCAAGCCCACTAGGGAGCACCCAGCTGGGCCAGAAAGGAGTGCTGGGCCACGCTGACTCAGACTCTACTTTGCTTCCTCTTCCTTCCACCCATTTCCCCCCTTCTTCTCCTGGGTACCAAGTCGCCCTCCCTGGCCCAGCAAGAGGCAGCAACACGATTCGAGCTCCCTGGGCCCAACCGCACCACCACAGCTTATGGCAGAAGGAACGGTGGCACTCGACTGAGCCCCGTTCGCCTCATGGAGGCGCTTAGCTTCTGCCCTGCCTTCCTCATGGTGACCTGCTTCTTTCGCCCCAGCCTGCCTTACTTCCTCCTTTGCCAAGGGGAGCAAAGGAGCCAGCGGGAGGAGCTAGCCTCCCAGGGCAGAGGAGGCCAATGCACAAGCCTCGCAGAGGTGACCGGCCTAACGCTTCCAGCTTGCCCAGGCAGATGTTACTGCTGTCTCTCGTGCAGCGGGAATCCCTGGTACAAGCCAGCGGCAGAAAGGGGCACATCTCCTCGGAGAGCAAAGGGAGCTGCAAAAAGTGAGAGGCTTTGTCTGGTGTTGAACTGGGGCCCTTTTGCATTTTAGGTAAATGTGATAACCACTAAACGACAGAAACTCCACTTGCTTCTGGGCGAACCTGGAAGAACCTGCTGTTGCTGCCCTTTGATAGCTCAGCTGGCAGAGTGGAGGGCTGTAGTGGGGGCTTGGGAAGTCAGTTGTAGGTTGCCGATTTGACTCTGGCTTGAAGGAGAGCTGCTTTTTCCTCGCCTTCCTGAGCAAGGCAAGAAAGAAAGGTCAGGTGGGCCACCGAGGTGCAGAAGCATATGCTCACACACTCTCCTTTGCTCAGGAGCTGGGGACCAGGAATTCTCATTGGTTAAAAGGGCGCAGCTGCACTCCCACAAAATGCATCACCAGCAAAAGACACCCTGGATGGAAGAGGCATGCCAAAGTCCAGGACTGAGCCAGGGACCTTCAGTCTAATGTGCTCACAGCTGAGCTACTCTGGTCCCTGCCTTTTGCTTGCTGCTACTCTCGTGTGGCTGTTCAGTCATGGCACTCCAGAAGAAAACTATTGCAGGTGGCCTAGCAAGGCAAGATTAGCTTTGCCTGCCATTCTCAGCTTGATTTCCTCCCTCGCCCCATTCCTACCTTACTTCGTGGGTTGACGTGGTGGCCAATCAGGACTGGGGCCCAGTGGCAGTGGGGAAGAGAGAGGGTGGTGAGACCCTGGTGGTAAGATGATCTGGCTACCTCCTTGCTGTCCCTTTCGGGGCTCCTGGCCTGACTAGCTGGCTGACAAGGATTTGGAGCTGGGAGGGCATCTCAGTGGCCGCCTCCCATGCTTGTTGGAGAGTTGGCTTGACCTGCTGGCCCCAAGGACTAAATCACCAGGCCACCAAATGGGTTGACCTGTTAGCCAGAATTCTTTCTGAGTAGGATTTGCCGCCAAATGCCCCCTCCCTCCCCAGGGCATTAAGCTTCCCAGCAGCAGAAACCTCCCAGGAAGGCTTAATACGTGAGCTGCTGTGGTTTCAAACGTGGGTCATTCACAATCACACTGAGTGTCTGTATATAGCTACAGCCCTGGTCCAGGAACTCTGAACCCAGCAGCTTAGCAGCAGCACACCAACCCCACTCAGGCTTCTAGCAGCCTTGGTTACGACTTGTAGGATAACCCCCAACACAATCCTAGTCCCAAATCCCCCCCCCCCCCCCGCGGTGTGTTTTGCATTGTCCAGCCCTCTCCTGGACATTTCAGATATTTTAGGTCTGTTGCCCCTGTGAAGGAGCAATATACAACGGTTTGCTACTTTAAATGGAGTTACCCATACAGTTCAGTTTAATGACAGCAGTGCATTAGTTTTAATTAAAGAATAAAACAAGTTCATTTAACTTCAAAGAGAGAGATTTTAAGTGAGTACAGCTGTAGGGTATTAGAGTCAGAAATGATTACAAGAGAAATGAAGATAAAAGGCTGCCCTGTACTAAAACTTAAAAAAAACTGGACTTGGTTTAAAGTGAAGTCCCTTACCACATGTTCCCAGTAACATTGATGACTAAATTCTCAGGCCAGGATCTGCTTCCAAAGTCTGTTTCTTTTGTCATCTTAAGTGAGAGAGAGAGGGAGAGCTACATTGGGGGTCATCTTGCTGCTCACTTTTATAGTTCATGCCACTTTTGAAAAGCATTTTCCTGAGGTTACCCCTAGATAAATTTTATTCCCACTGTGAGGATGGAGACAAGGAGTGTCATGGTGAAAGAAGTGACATGCTATTGTTTGCTAAAATGCAGATCTGTTTGTTCCTGGCTCCCTTCCTGCCAAAGAATGGCCACTTGACCGATGATTGCCCGAGAACTTTAATGACACTTGGCTTGAGGTGCAAGCTTGTCCTTTGTCTCTGAGACACTGTTTTACTCAAACTTGTCCAGTAAACCCATGTGAGACCTAATTTCATCTTGTTTATAACTTTATATATAATGATGCTACACATTTCATCATGATACTATTGACCAGTGAATTGTTAGTTTTCAAATGATATCTTCCAAGGCATAATCTGGATGAAGATTATTGCAGTAGTGTGTAGGGTGTGAATGCAGGGGTGCATTTGGTCACGGCTGTCCAGGTATGCTACTGTGTTCAGAATGTCCTGGAGTATATCATTAATAAAATGTCGGTGCATCACAGATGTGTTTGTCATCCAAAAAGCCATGAGATACTTGAAGTGACCATAATGCATTCCAAAGGTGGTCTTCCCTCCATCCCCATCTCTAATGTGTTCCAGCTTTTATGCCCCAGGCTGTCTAGTTTTGTGTACAGCTGGGTGATACTTACACGGCCCCTTAGCTTGGGCTTAGTGGTACCAGATATCATTTTCTATTGGTGACCTGATTTAGGGCCCACTACTCAACACATAGTCAGAGCCTTCTGTCATTTTTATTTTTAACAAAGAGGTTGGGTGCCCGGGCAGGTGAAGTGAATTTCTGAATAAAGACCTTGGCTAGGGCCAACAGATTTACAACAGTTTTGATGCTCGTGGACCACTCTACCAAAGTGACCCACTTCATCCCTTGCTCAGGCCTCCCCTCCACGGATGA